GACTATCAAAATAATCGTTTGTGGCAGCACTAGTGAAAGGGCCTTTATTGTTTGACTTAAATACACTGACGGGCCAGAATGTGAAAGTAAATGTTTTGTGTTAGGACACTGTACAGCTCGGCTGCTTCACAGATGTCAGGTCCAACCACCTCTGGATGGATCCTGCCTCCACTTGAACTGTCAGATATTCGTGTACCTATAACTCTAACTCTGGGAAAAGTGGTAGAATTAAAAGTTTAGCAGAGAATACCCGAGGAAGAGAGATGGCAGCTATCTAAAAAAAAAACCTGAAAAAGAAGAGTCGTCCATGGAGGAGAGCTATAGATGGTCAGTCAGACAGTTGGTTACTTTGCTAACAAGTTTAACAGGATATTTCCATTCTCAGGTGTCTGATACCCTTCGACACTCATCAAAAGAATTCTCATCTCTTCTTTCTTTCTCTGATAATGATATTAGGCAATTAATTAGCACAAAGAATGTTAGATGTACATCTTTTTTGGTTACAATAACATTGGCTCAGGAGCTAGACCAGCTCACTGATCTAAAGGGTGGTGGTTCAATCCCTGGCTCCCCTTAGTCTGCATGCCAAATATCCGGAGCAAGATATTAACCCCAAGTTGCTAATGGTAGCACTTAAATGGCAGACAGTGCTTGAGTGAATGGGTGAATCTGGCGTGTTGTATAGAGCGCTTGTAGTAGAAAAGTGCTAAATAAGAATCAGTCATCACAAGGTTCTACTTGTATAAGGTAGGTAAGGTTTTTCCTTGGAGTAAATTGTGACGATCACCAGATAATATGTTCACACAACTAGATATAAGTATGTAAAGATGTGCTTTAACCAAGCACATTGATTGAACACACCATCTCAGATTTTTCTGATTGTGGATTTCTGTTGTAGGGTGTATGCAAAGTGTAAGTGTTTTCTTACTCTCTGTGTCAATGTGTTCTCTCTTTCCTGTCCACCCTCCATGCTCAGATATTGGATAAGCTATTGGACAGAGAGAGTCAGACCCACAAGCCCCAAACTCTAAGCTCCTTCTACTCAAGCAAGCCAGCAGCTGGCAGTCAGCGTAGTCCATCCAAACATACATCCTCCAGCCACAGTGGGGTGGGTGGGGCCACAGGAGTGGTCTCCAAACATGCTACGTCATCTTCCTCAGCATCTACTTTGGTGGCTTCATCCTCGAGCTCTTCCTCTGCTCTGACAATTGGCGGAGAGGGGGTGGCTCCTCAGGCTGATCTGAACCCGGTGCCAAATAACACAGCAGGGGAGAGTGCCGCTGAGACCAGGGAGCATGGTGAGAACCCCACTACCACGTCTCGGTGTCCACCTGTGTGTTCTTGTCATTCTCCAGGCACAAACATCCACTTGGACTTTTTATTACTGAATTTCAAACATATTTCAAATAAATGTCATCGTATAGTTTTAGGTTTTTCCGCATGTTCACTATAACTATATTAAAAATAAAGTATAAAAGCTGTAAACGAGTGCTGCGTGCATTTCACACACACACACACACACACACAGACCAGCACATACTTACTTGTCTTTGTACGGTGTATTCTGGCACCTGTCTATCAGAACCAGCAAACTCTTTCAGCAAACTCTTTCAGCAGTTAGGTCGCTGGTTGCTCGTCCACCACTGTTCCTTCCTTGGACCACTTCTGATTGGACCACTGCAGACCAGGAACCCCCCACAAGAGCTGCAGTTTTGGAGATATTCTAACCATCTTAGCATCATAATTTGGTCCTTGGCAAACTTAGAATGGAATAGAAGAGCCCTTTGTCATTGTACATATACAACAGATCTGTGGGTGCTCCACCCGACTACTACCCAAGAAATATGGATAAAAAAACAGTAATATAAATAACATAAACCATGGTATACATAACAAAGTCTAAATATGAATAACGGAACAGAAAGACTGAAATCTAAATAACAAAATGAATAAAAAGCACACAGTAAAAATGAGGCTGTGTAGTTACCAGGTGGCTTGAGTGTAGTACAGAAGACTTCAGTGGAGTTCAGTAGTGGCATTTGGACATTGTACACAGTCAGGTTTGCGTTTCCTGAAGGATGAGTGTTACTCAGGACCATGTGTCAGAGTGAATGAGAGTGTGTGGTGGGGAATGGAGATCTGTGGCTGTTTGCTGTCCTGAACTTGCTAAAAACCTTTTTCTGCTTCTACCACATCAAAATGTTCAACTGTTCCCCGGCCGTGTGCGCGTGCATGTGTGTGTAAAGAGATCTCATGATCTGTCCTCGCTTTTTCAGATGGGCCTTCATCTTCAAGTGACCAGCAGAATGACATCACTTCGTTTAAGGAGGCCACAGTGCCCAGTCGGTTGGCACTGGGAGCACGCTGTGGATATAGCCAACGCTGCTGGGGCTCACCTGTACGGCAGAAGAAAAAACACACTGGTACAGTGTTACTATTATTAAGACTGCTGTTATTATCTATACTTTTATACTACTGCTGAATACTGCTTTCATTTGTTCAGAA